CGTGGATATACGATTCACCCAAACCAAAAGAGATATCGCCTAGTCTAATTGTATACAACTATTACTTAACTGTTAGGATTCCTACTTAACGTTCAGTGAAAATAAAAGTGTTCATCTACGATCGTGCCCCAAAAGTAACGCAGGATTTGAATTGGGCGCCATTTTCATTCCGAGGAGTTGGCATTATTGTGCAGGGTCACATGTTGTAGTAAACACATTGCGGTTAGACAAAGTTGAGCGCTATACAACGAATGAGCGAGTGAACATTTTAAAAATTCATTACAAGTACGGAGAGTGTGTAGCTGAGAGTATGCACAAATTACGTGTAGTAGTTTGATAGTCAAAAATGTGGTTGTTTGGGGTCATTGTTGGGTTGATTAAAAAAATAAATTGTTTTACATGCAGAAATCAGTTAAATCCCCCCCCCCTCCCGCTATTTAGAGGCAGTTTTTGGGGGGAAGGGGTGGATTTGGGGCTCTGTGCCCATTGAGACTTTTGATCTACATGTTAAGAACTATCAACCTGCGAAGTTTCAAAAAAATTTATCGAAAGCCACTTCCCATAAGAAAAGTGCGGGGTCCTTTGAACAGGTTTCGTTGCAGACAATAAAAAAGCAGGCTGGCCTCGTGCTGGCCGTTCTGCCAAAAATACTGCTATTGAGGTTATGGGAATTTCCGCCACACTATCATTCACCGTATCAATATTTTCGGCTGAACGGCCAGTACGAGGCCGGCCTGTTTTTTTTATTTCTACAACCGAACCTGTTTGTTCAAGTTTTGTTGGCAATACATTCTAAAAGATGAAGTAAGTAATAATAGAATAAACATTATATGATAACTCTAGCTATGGAAAAAAAAAACAAAACGAAAAATAAAAAAAAAGGTTCAAAAGACGAAAACAGATTTTCGAAACAAATTAATATGTTTTTGTACTATATTTTATATTTGCCTGCTTTTTTCACTGTGAGGTTTTAAGTTAGGCAAAATTATTTTGGAGCAAGGATTTATTTCACGAATTTTCAATTTCTCCACAGGTGGCAAAATATCCTAAAAATAAAGAAAAAAAAAGGAAAACTATGCCAGAAATAAATAACTCTGACAATATTTGAAACTAATGTTTGCACAGTTGTTTCACTTGGGGCGTAATTTGCGCACAGTCTCAGCTACACACTCTCCATACTTGGGCGCACAATTCAAATCCTGCTTTATTTTTGGAACACCCTTAATAAGCAAGGAATACATTTCCTTCCTTTTTTTCGGAACACACCCATCGACAAATTGTTTGTACACCAGTTCATATTGTTTTTGCCAATACTTTGTTACTGAAGTTTACGTTGTGGCCATATGTGGGATCTCTGAAACTTTGGAGGGGAGCATTTTGAAACTCATCTACATCACAACAATTCCTATCAAATATTGATATTTAAATTGAAACTTTTAGAAACTGCAATAGTAATTTCAACTACAGTAGCTTATTTACAATATCATTTCCTTAGTACCTGTAATGACAGCATAGTAAAATGTTTAAAATTTTTAATTGATCGGTATAGTCTTTCCGAAATCAGTTGAACATGTATAAAAACGCTTAGCAATTATAACTTAATGAGTTTCATAGGCGTCGCCTAGAAAAATTTTCTGCTAAAGGTAAAAATTAATAATTTGTACCTAGGTATACTTATAATGTGTAGAAAATTTCGATTACATTTTCATTTGGCCAACAACATATTTTAATTATTTATATCCTCTAACAATTTTATTATATTAATGGTAAATTTTGGTTATGACATATCAAATAACATTTACCATTTTCATTAAAATATTTTACTGCTCGGAAAGAACGCAATTTATCTTTAATCATCTCTAAAGTTGGTACTTTATTTTCTTTAAATAAATTATAAAGTCCTCCGAATTACGTCTTGTCATGTCATCGATATTTTTAAATTTTTGTTTTCGCTTCCCTTTTACGCAATGTTCCATAGCACCTTGTTTAATAACACGAAAAACTGTGGACACTGAAACTTTTGTAAATGTGTGAATTCTATTTATAATTGCATTATCTGATTTTTCATATTCTTCCTTTTTTAAACAATCCTTCATATTTAAAATGAGACGATGACATTGAAGGTGTAAATGTTTATTTTTAAATTCTAAATCTGTTTCATCAACAACCGGTTCCATATAATTCAATATTGTCTGGCGGTATTTCGTTTTGTTCCGTTTCCAAAATGCCGTATTGTAATAATACTCGTATTAGTAAACAAAATGTCCCTCTTATTTCTCCTTTTCGCAATTGTAATATGAATTACTAATAGAAGGTGCCTATCATAAATTAAAATTACCTGAATCACGCCAAATTCCGCATTGATGCACTGCACTGTTAGTCAATTTGTCAACAACTGAAATTTATGGCCCAGTCGCCCAGTGCGGCTGTGTTTGTGCGTTGCTTGCCCGCGCGCTCATTCTTCAACTGGGCGTATACATTTCTACCACCTCCACGTTTAGTTCGACCAGACCTGTATATGGGTATGGCCAAATAAATATGGGAACAAGTTTTTCAAATATTTCAATACCGAGTTGTTGCGTAGCGACCGAACCTGTTAAGGAAAGACTATACCATCACGTGGCATTTATAAAAAATCGATATAGCTCTACAAATATTCATAGAAAATTGACCACTCCTTACAAAAAATTACACAGGACCACAAAAAAAATTAGTGGAGGGTTCTTTGAATCAGACCAAGTGGATTATATGTTTTTTGGGTCGCTGAAACTGAATCCGAAACCTGTTTTGCCCCATCAGCATTTTTTTCTAACCTCAAAAAACAGCTTTAAATTATGAAACCCAACAATATCAACCCTTAAACCATATAACCCTATACTTTCATAACTCAATAACCTTGAAATCTATATATAACCTCAAAACTCATAAATCTCAAATCCCAATAAACTGCAAACACAAAATGAGCAAAAATAAAAACAAAAAAACTTCGTTAAAGGACTTCAGAGTTATGGAGTTTATGGGATTTATGATTATGAAGTGATGGATGTATAGAATTATAAAGTTAAAACTCCGATATTGAGGTTTCAGTTTTGTGTGTCCGTTTTTTCTTTTTTTTGCTCATTTTGTGTTTGCAGTTTATTGGGATTTGAGATTTATGAGTTTTGAGGTTATAGATTTTCAGGTTATGGGTTTTAGAGTTATAGGTTATCGATCTCAAGGTTATTGAGTTATAGAGTTATATGGTTTAAGGGTTGATATTGTTGGGTTTCATAGTTTCAACCTGTTTTTTGAGGTTAGAAAAAAGCTGACGCGATGGGGCAAAACAGGTTTCGGATTCGGTTTCAGCGACACAACAACAACCACTTGGTCTGGTTCAAGGAATCCTCCACTCATTTTTTTTGTGGTCCTGTGTTATATGACTGAATAATGTTGTAAGACATACATATAAAAGGTACATGACACATGACATTTTTATTATCATCATAATGTACTACTACTACGGAAAATTTTATCTTGGTGACATTTGGAGGAAAAACTTTGGTTTTATAGATTAGAATAACAAATTATCTGTCATACACATAAATTATATTAAACAATATATCACAAATATGACAACCTTCTATTATATATTTACAAAACCGTATCTAATACTATGGATGGGCCAATTTAATTAAGTCAGAAACCTTCTCGCCTATCATGGTGCAGTCGCCACTTGAATGTGAGGAAAGAGTGAATGGAAAGACGCTAGAGTCGGCCACTCTCAAATTTTCTATTCCAAATACTTTTAAATGTGAGTCTACTACAGCCCCCTCTAGTGGATCAGTACCCGCCGGGCAGGTACCCACGGAATGAAACACTGGAGCAGTCAGGTGTCTTAAGTAGCAGTACCAATACTCCCTAGTAAGGTATCCGAAAGACCTACATGCTGGAAGAAATCTGAATGCAAGTTCGGCCCCTATTTCTCTAAAAGCAGTGGTGTTGATTAAATCCAAACAGAAGTTTATGCCTTCGTACAAAGCTTCTATATCCTTGCCGTAGGGATCAGAAAGCAAGTTGTAATCTATCAAAGGATACTCGAAAGGATTGCTACTGTTTAATCTCAGGGAACCAACCGACTGTACGTTGAGGAGCACTACAGTGATGTAGAAAGACGAAGCTTGGTTGCCCCATACTCCATTCCAAGTTTCATCGTTCCAGTTCATAAACTTTTGGCCTAATTGTGAGTTCTCCCCAGACAGATCTATCACTAGTTCCAGGTCTGGAGAGTTGGGCGTGTCTTGTAAGCTCGTTTGGTGCCAACCGATTACATGAGATCGGGTATTCGACGTTAGGGGTCCGGTGCCATTTAAGTAATCTTCGATTTGTTCTCTTAAAGTGGAACTTGGTATTGTCATATTGGAGTAAAACTGTAGACCAAAGACGCCGGTGTGATCTCTAAGTGTTGTACCGACTGATAAGTTTTGGATCACAGGAATCCCTAGGTCTTCTAAGTGTTGCTGAGGTCCTATCCCAGATAACATAAGGATCTGAGGAGAAGATATAACACCTGCTGATAGTATTACCTCCTTTTTAGCTGTTGCTCTATAGGTTTGTCCTTGGTTAGTGAATATAACGCCAGTGGCAACTTTTGTAACTTCGTCAATCTCCACTTTGGTGACGTAACTCTCAATGCTCACATTGAGGTTCCTCCTGTGAATTACTGGACTGATAAATGCTGTTCCTTGATCATGTCTTTTGCCTGCGAAAGTGTTATATTGCACCACAGAACCACCCTGGCATACTGGTCCATTGTAATCAGTGAAATTGTACCCCAGTTCGGCGTATGCGTCTAGGAAAATGTATTTCAGAGGAATGGACGGGTGATGATGTTCTACATTCCAATACCCTCTAGTTCCGTGATACGCATAGTTGATAGTAGCGTCTGGATCGGTTGGATGGAAGTGTTCTGATTTTGTGAAATACGGAAAGACGTTCTCATAGGACCAACTGGTGTCGTTGACCGCTTCAGCCCATCTACTGAAGTCTGTCGCGTGTCCACGGGTATACATGAGACCGTTTATCAAGGTAGTGCCTCCAAGTCCTCTTCCTCTGGGTACTACGCATCTTTGGTCCACAGTTCCTGGAAGTTTAAACGTGTTATACAGGGTGTAACTAAATAAGTGTAAAACATTTAATGGGGTGATTCTTCATCGAAAAAAAGATAGGATCTTTCATATAAAGAAACTTCATTGGAGCATCCCTTGTTAAGATACAGCCCCTTAAAGGGGGTACATAAAATTTGTTTAACAATTTTTTTCACAAGCACTAAACAAGTTACAATATTGAAATTAACCTGACAATTTCTACTACCAAAAAGACACTTAGCCAGTAATTTATTTGGTTTACCCCATGGTTGTAAGGGGTGGAAAACGCAACCCCTAAAATTTATTTCCAACGTAATTTTTTGTCTTATTATTTTTTTACCATTTAAAAATTTATTTCCGATAGCCTGTTTCATTCTAAAAAAAAATGTCTCTTGAATTTTTTGCCCAAATTAAACCAGTTCGCAGCAAAAAATTATTTTACGAACAAGATACATATCGCCATAAAACGAAAATACGAAACTAATTTATCTAGTAGGCCGCCATTAGCGATACTGACAATTAAATTGGAATCAAGCTGTCAGTTTGTAAATTTTTGAAATTGAAGTAATACTAATTGTGTATTGTTCTGTTCTTAATTTGTTACTTTAATAATTCACTTGTTATTAAAATGGCATACACAAATGAGGAAATGGCTGATATGCATTACGTTTACGGTCTGTCGCAGGGGAATGGGTTAGAAGCTTCTACAAGATATGCTGAAATGTATCCTCAACGGCAGCATCCTTCACATAGAATATTTGTCTGACTTCATCAACGATTACGTGAATATGGTTCATTCAACAAAAGAACGCAGGATTGTGGTCGCCATCGAGAAGTAAGAACACCACAGCTTGAGGCAGCAGTACTTAATTTGATAGAAGAACAACCTACTACCAGTACTAGAAAGATTGCTTTCCAGCTAAATGTTGATCATATGACGGTATTTCGAATTTTAAAGGAACATCTCTTATACCCTTACCATCTGCAACGAGTACAGGCACTGTTACCGCGAGACTTTCCGAACCGTCTTGAATTTTGCAATTGGATGCTGGAAATGATTAGAAGAAATCGTGACTTTCTGAAGACGATCGAATTCACAGACGAATGTAGTTTTTCTCGGGACAAGATTATTAATTTTCATAATTACCACATATGGGCTGATGAAAACCATCACGCTATTGTCGAAACTAACCATCAAGAACAGTTTTCTCTTAAGGTGTGGGTCGGAGTTATTGGGGATTATTTAATTGGGCCTCATTTTCTACCTCCTCGATTAAATGGTGAGGCATACGTTCAATTTTTAAGAAAAGTGCATCCCCCCGTACTGCTGGAGGAAGTTCCTTTGGGCGTCAGAAGGGATATGGTTTTTATGCATGATGGGGCTCCCGCCCATTTTAGTCAAGTAGCACGTCAGCATTTAACTGAAACATATGCAAATCAGTGGATAGGTCGAGGAGGACCACAGAATTGGCCCGCTCGATCCCCGGATCTCAATCCTCTGGATTTGTCTACTTGGGGCCATTTGCAGCATTTGGTTTATCGTACTCCTGTTCGCGATGTAGAGGACTTAAGAAACCGCATTATCGATGCGTGCAGGGTAATTAGAGAGACTCCAGGAATATTTGAGCGAATACGTGGCTCAATGCGCCGACGTCTAGACGCATGCGTAATGTCTGAAGGTAGACATATTGAACATTTACTATGATTTCTACATGTTGTATGTTTTGTTATTATTAAATTAGTTTTGATTATTCCCCTTTAATCATTTAATGCAGGTAGTAACTACAAAATAACAGTAAATCCAGTCCGCATTTATGACGATGTATCTCTGTAGTTGTTCGTAAAATAATTTTTTGCTGCGAACTGGTTTAATTTGGGCAAAAAATTCAAGAGACATTTTTTTTTAGAATGAAACAGGCTATCGGAAATAAATTTTTAAATGGTAAAAAAATAATAAGACAAAAAATTACGTTGGAAATAAATTTTAGGGGTTGCGTTTTCCACCCCTTACAACCATGGGGTAAACCAAATAAATTACTGGCTAAGTGTCTTTTTGGTAGTAGAAAATGTCAGGTTAATTTCAATATTGTAACTTGTTTAGTGCTTGTGAAAAAAATTGTTAAACAAATTTTATGTACCCCCTTTAAGGGGCTGTATCTTAACAAGGGATGCTCCAATGAAGTTTCTTTATATGAGAGATCCTATCTTTTTTTCGATGAGGAATCACCCCCTTAAATGTTTTACATTTATTTAGTTACACCCTGTATTATAAATAGGCTCTGATTTTGAAGAATTGGTATAAAACAGTCTTTTACATAAAACATAAAACACACCACAGAAATGAGACAACACCCAAATCCAAAGCCAAAAGCTGTGCGGAAGGGGGCTACACTTGAAAAAACGCGGACAAACACCCATTATCCATCGACATTGCCAGTGCCGACACCAGGGATCGAACCCGGACCAAAATAGGAAGCCTGGCCGAGAAATGCTTGCCACCGCACTCTCCACCAACTGCGCTACCGTGGCGAATTGCACGATTTAAGTGAAGTACTAAGCACTACAAACAAAGGCAATAAAAGTAACGCTTTACCTAAACATGCTGTTGTTTGTGGTACAGATTTGAATCCCCAGTTGTAGTCTGAGAGACAGCCTAGGGCGTATAGTGCTGGGATTTCTGATAATTCATTGGGAAATGCCCCTGCTTCTATTAGTAATACCTTCCAATGTCTAACTTCTGAGAGACGGTTGGCTATGACCGCTCCAGCAGATCCAGCTCCAACGATTATGAAGTCATAGGATCCAAAATCTGAAAGTGATGGAAATTAACGATTTTATTAAATGTAACGGTTTAAGAAATAAAAAAAATAATTTCCAGATAAGTTGGCAACTGTTTGGGCAATATACAGGATGTTTCTTAAGTAGAGGTAAAAAATCCAAGGACGTATTTTGTGACCAAAAAAATAAGGTATTTTGTTATACAGGGTGTTCCACCTAAGATGGATTCTTCTGTAACTCTGTAAGTGTAAAATTGATCAAAAAATGGTTTTAATAAAAGATGCCTGGAATCAGGTGGACAATGTAAAGAAAATATTCTTATCTTTACAAGGTGTTGGTTAATATTAGGTAGAGTTTAAAACTTACCGTTTTCGAGATAATCAGTTGTTTTTGAAAAAAATTATGATTCCATCACCCTAAATGAGGCTAGATATCGTCTAAACCGTAAGAGTTACAAACCTGCAGTTTTCACAGTTCGTTTTGGCATAAATTACTCTATCTTGTCAGCTATGAGCGAAACGTGTACGTTATTCAGACTCGGAAATACTAAGATCTACATTTAATAATCATACGAGTTGAAAAACTTTTTTTTTCAAATGGAATGATCCATATTAATTGTCATGGGTGAATGCGAAATTGAATGTCCTTTCGACTGATATAAGGTTATCCATGCTTATATTTAACAGTTTTCCAGAAAAATCAGGTTTTTTTCTAAAGTCCGAAAAAGTAGCTATGTAACAGTGTCAAGAAGTCCTTGCAAAACCGCTTTTCTTTCACATTTTATCAGGCCTGGGACTGACAGTGTCAATATATACTGGCATGTTTAAAAAATGGTTTGACAAGCAAAAGTAAACCACTAAAAACAACTACAACAAAACGCAAAACGAAACAAACTGAAACTCGGAACAAAACAACGAAAAGAATATTTAGATCGCTGATTTACATCAGTTCTTTGAAGCGTCCTCCATTTTGATTCATACACAAACGAATTCGGTTTTTAAAAGAATGTTCAACATTGGTCAGCATGTCTGGCGTAATTTCTTGAAATGCTACTGTAATGCACTGCCACATATCTGCCGCGGTGGTTGGTGGTGTAACGTAAACTTTGCTTTTTATAAATCCACATAAAAAGAAGTCGCAACTTGTCATATCTGGACACCTTGAAGGCCACCTCACTGGTCCCCCGCGCCCAATCCATCTGTTGGGAAATGTTTCGTGTAAAAACTGACAAACCGCAACGGTATTGTGAGGTGGAGCACCATCATGTTGCATCTACATTCTTCGAAGTGTAACTAAAGGAATTCGCCTAACAAATCTTCTAGAGTGTTTGTTAAAAAGTTTAAATAGACTGCTCCAGTTAGATGCTGGTCAAAAAAGAATGGTCCAATGACATGGGTTCCCAAAATTTCTCCTCTCACGTTCAAAGACCACCGTTGGTTATGAGTTGTCCGGAATTGGTGAGGATTTACTGTGTCATAATAATGGCAATTATGACTATTAACGAAACCATTTTTATGAAAAGTAGCCTCATCGGAGAACATAACCCGTTTAAAAAAATCATCTTGATTTAACATCTCAAATGCCCATTGACAAAACTCCAGTCTCCGCTGAAAGTCTACTTTTAGTAACTGTTGGTGTAATTGGATGCGATAAGGATGTACTGTGCTGTGCTTTTGTAAAATCCTATATACAGTGTCCCCCTAAAGTCGTGCACAAATTCATTATTAGGTAAACAAAAGAAATTATTAAAAATTCCCGAAACAGGTCGATTTTTTAATTTAATTTACTATTTTTTCAAATAATAATTTAATATACAGGGTGACCTATGTTCGAGTAATGACGTCATCACAATTTTTTTTAAATGGAACACCCCACTTTTTTTCCAATTTTCGGATTGCCCTAACTGAGCTGATTCCAAAAATATACCACAAGTTGCTTCTAATTGTTACAGGGAGGACAACAATACCCAAATTATTTACAAATACTAAATTTATTTACAAATAAATAAACGTACTAAAAATTGAATCAAATCACCAGAAACACCTAAATTAAATGTTCAAATTGTTGACCATTTACTGCCAAACAATGGGCCAGACGGGAAGTAAATTCTTGCTGTACATTCCCAATGACTTCAGGCGGGATCGCTCGAACTTCTTGCCGAATTCGTTCCTTCAGATCGTTAATACTGTTTGGTTTATTGACGTATATTTTGCTTTTTACATAACCCCAAAGAAAAAAGTCGAGCGGTGTTAAATCTGGTGATCTGGCGGGCCATTCCTTAGGTCCTCTTCTGCCAATCCACCGATGAGGAAACACGTCATCTAAATAGCGGCGAACAGCGCTGGCATAGTGCGGTGGTGCACCATCTTGCTGAAACCAAATGGTTTCATTGGGCAAATCTGGATCTTCTTCATTTGGAAATAGAACACTCAAGGAAGGAACTAAATGGAACTGAAGAAATTCCAAATATCTTGCACCATCTAAATTTCCTTCAAAGAAATACGGCCCCAAAATTCGATTACCAACAATTCCGGCCCAAACATTGACCTTTTGGGGATGCTGAGTGTGTGCTTCCATCATCCAATGTGGATTGCGATCTGACCAGTACCGACAATTCTGTTTATTGACGGTGCCATTCAAATAAAAAGACGCCTCGTCGGAGAAAATTATGCGTTTCACAAAATCCGGATCTGCCTGACATTCTTCCATCATCATTTCGCAAAATTCTGTGCGTCTGTCGAAATCATCGTCACATAATTCTTGTACTAAGTGGACTTTGTAGGGATGATACTTGTTTCTGTGAAGAAGTCTACTCAATGTACTTTCACTCATTCCTAAATTATCTGCTACGACTCTCAGACTGGATTGCGGGTTTTCATGAATGGTCAAAAGGGCTTGTAACTGCACTTCTTCATCTACAGTCGGTCGGCCAGATCTGGGCATATCTTTAACATGACCATGATTTCGAAACTTTGCTTCAGTTCGGCTAACCGTGGATCGATTTATTGGTGGACGATTGGGATGAATTTCATTAAACAAAACACAAACTTCCTCATGAGTTCGAATTCTATCACCATATCCGATCATCATAAGAATTTCAATCCGTTCGGTTTCACTTAGAATCATGTTTTTTAATTAATTCAAAAATACTCAATATTTTAAGGAAGAATCATTCAAAATGGATTTACTTGTACAATCTTAACAAACTATTTAAAAATGATTGCCTGCAAGAAATACACGAGCACGTTCTATCAGGCAGATAAAATTAAAAAAGCATCAAAGAAATTATAGCAAAAAATAATGACATTTTAAAATGATATGTGGTGATTTGATTCAATTTTTAGTACGTTTATTTATCTGTAAATAAATTTAGTATTTGTAAATAATTTGGGTATTGTTGTCCTCCCTGTAACAATTAGAAGCAACTTGTGGTATATTTTTGGAATCAGCTCAGTTAGGACAATCCGAAAATTGGAAAAAAAGTGGGATGTTCCATTTAAAAAAATTGTGATGACGTCATTACTCGAATATAGGTCACCCTGTAAATTAAATTATTATTTGAAAAAATAATTAATTAAATTCAAAAATCGACCTGTTTCGGGAATTTTTAATAATTTCTTTTGTTTACCTAATAATGAATTTGTGCACGACTTTAAGGGGACACTGTATATCTACGTTGTACTAATACAGTTGCAAGGCCTCCTTGACGCTGTTACATAGCTACTTTTTCGGACTTTAGAAATGAGCCTGATTTTTCTGGAAAATTGTTGGAGATAAGGTCGAAAGGGCATTCAATTTTGCATTCACCCATGACAATTAATATGGATTCCATTTGGAAAAAAAAGTTTTCCAACTCGTAAGATTATTAAATGTAGGTCTCAGTAGTTGCGAGTCTGAATAACGTACAGGTTTTGCTCACACATGACAAGATAGAGTAATTTATGTCAAAATGAACTGTGGAATTTGCAGATTTCTAACTCTTACGGTTTAAACACTATCTAGCCTCATTTAGAGAGCTGAAATCGCGATTTTTTTAAAAACAACTGATTATCTCGAAAACGATAAGTTTTAAACACCATGTACATTTAATAAACTCTACCTAATATTAACCAAGGAATTAAAAAACGTAATAATATACAGGGTGTTCCATTTAAAATAACAAAGTTATGGAGCGCCCACGTGAAAAGGAACACCCTGTAAAGCTAAAAATATTTTCATTACATGGCCCATATGATTCCAAACAACTTTTATTAAAACATTTTTTTTATAAATTTGTTATATTTCTATGCTGAAATTGACTAAATTAAATTTAAATTTATTATATTTTTATTTTTTATTAGATATTGTTTACACAGGGTTGATATAAANACCTTGAAGGCCACCTCACTGGTCCCCCGCGCCCCATCCATCTGTTGGGAAATGTTTCGTGTAAAAACTGACAAACCGCAACGGTATTGTGAGGTGGAGTACCATCATGTTGCATCTACATTTTTCGAAGTGTAACTAAAGGAATTCGCCTAACAAATCTTCTAGAGTGTTTGTTAAAAAGTTTAAATGGACTGCTCCAGTTAGATGCTGGTAAAAAAAGAATGGTCCAATGACATGAGTTCCCAAAATTGCTCCCCAGGTGTTCAAAGACCATCGTTAGCTATGAGTTGTCCGGAATTGATGAGGATTGACTGTGTCATAATAATGGCAATTATTACTATTAACGAAACCATTTTTATGAAAAGCAGTCTCATCGGAGAACATGACCCGTTTAAAAAAATCATCATGTTGATTTAACATCTCAAGTGCCCACTGACAACACTCCAGTCTCCGCTGAAAGTCTACTTTTAGTAACTCTTGGTGTAATTGGATGCAATAAGGATGTGCTGTGCTGTGCTTTTGTAAAATTCTATGTATCGACGTTGTACTAATATATTTATTGCAAGGCCTTCTTGACGCTGTTACATAGCTACTTTTTCGGACTTTAGAAAATAACCTGATTTTTCTAGAAAACTGTTAGAGATAAGTATGGACAACCTTATATCAGTCGAAAGGTCATTCAATTTTGCATTCACCCATGACAATTAATATGGATTATTCCATTTGAAAAAAAAAGTTTTTCAACTCTTAAAATTATTAAATGTAGGTCTCAGTATTTCCGAATCCGAATAACGTACACGTTTTGCTCACAGCAAGCTCACCCACTATATTTCAATGCTGAAATTGACTAAATTAAATTTAAATTTATTATATTTTTATTTTTTATTAGATATTGTTTACACAGGGTTCATATAAACATTTTTAAACCACTTATTTTTTATTAAGTAAAGGGAAGTTCAAAAAATCAGTGACATATGGCGCTTACACGTTATACAGGGTGATTTAAATTTAAATACAGAAGCTGCAGGACTAGAGTAGTTGCCAAAAAATAAGTAGAGTTTGCTCTATAAACTTTTTTCCTGGGGGACGTGGTATTCCAGATACAGGGTGTTCAGGTTTCTATTTATATTTTCTGTCTTCATACCTTATTAATGAGCGGAATGATTTGATTGAAATTTCTACAGGGTATTCACTTAATTAGACCTTTTATTGAATATAATATTAAGCTCGTGGCATAAACCAGCGGCGTGCTACTGAAGGTGCCGGCTACTACTATTAAGAAACAATAAAAAACCTTTTTCATTCATTTAACGTAACAGTACCTGAATATAACATTATTTGTACAAAAAAACTACCAGGGGCGTATTTTTTTCTTAGGAAAATGGGGCGTCACCTGCAGTAGCACGCCACTGGTTAAAGCCACAAGGTTACTATTATTACATTCAGTAAAAGGTCTAAGTAAAAGGTCTAATTAAGTAAATACGTTGTAGTAAAATTCATTCGTCAGCGCATTATGGCAGAAAATATGTATTTTTTTGTAAACTTTATCATCCTGTATCTTGAATACTGAGTCGCGCAGGTAAAAAGTTTATAGAGAATACTCTACTAATTTTTTGGTAATGAATCTAGTCCTGCAGTTTCTGTATTTAAAGTGAAGTCACCCTGTATATATTTGAAATATTTCAAAATGAAACATTTGTTATGAACTTCTGCACATCTTTAGGCGTTTGAAATACAAAAATTGTTTACCTTGTGTAAATGTAAAAATAATAATTATTATTATTATTATCAGTATCACAATGGTAGCATAAGTGTCTCACGTCCTAATATGGTTGTTTACCTACACGATTTACAGCGGATTTTTTTATATTAAAATAAATTTTTATGTTTATAACTTAGTATCTATATTAGCGTGTTTACGTAGATAAAGGTACTTCACTCTTAAATTATATGTATATACATGTTGTTAACGAGATTTTGTGTCGAGATTTATTAGACTTTTCGTATTATCTTTAAATCTTTAGACATTTTCAATGCCAAATTTCGTACCAGACACTTGATAAAATGCTCCCAAACAGAAGTGTCATAGGTACTATAAAATATAAGCAATATAAGTGTAAAAAAAGTTGAAAAATAACAATTTGTTACTAAAGATGAGATACCTTAAAGTACAAAAAAGTTATGTCATTTTTAACACATTCAATCTACTGCAGCTGGCGCCCTCTATGAACTTTAACCAAAATGTGAACAGTTTTCAATTCCTCTACTCAAAGAACTCCAATCCTCAAAATTTTGTGAGGATATTGGCATTTGTTAAAGAATAAATTAAAGAAAACTGAAATAATATTTTACATTTAACACCCTGTATCTCTTTAACTATCAACTTTTGGACTAAGGTAAGTTCGGCTAAATCGCAATATTTTTACTTGGAGAATCTACCCATGAATTTTGACCCACTACCTCGGGACCACCCTGTAGATTCTCCGGAAGAAAATAATTTTAAATGCAGTTTATCCAAAAATATTAAAATCGGTTTATGTTCGACGTATTTTTTATGAAGATGTGACGAGATTTGATTATCATTTATTTAAAATAAACCACCAGTGCCATGAAATATCTAGTATACAGGGTGTTTCAGAAAGACCTCCCGTAAAATCAGGGGGTGATAGTACGACAAAAAATAAGAATTTTTTGTCTTATGAACTATATGTCTATCTCCTCTTGTTTTCGAGATACAAAGGGTCAAAATAAATTTTTTTAAATAGAATTTTTACGAAAATTTCCAAACGGTGCAAAATGTTTTTATGAAACTTAGTATTCCGGGGTTTTTAAGGACGCCAAATACGCTGGTCTAATTATTTTTTGTATATATTTTATAGAGGGCGCTAGTTATGCTACATTCGTATTACATTTTAGGTTCTAATTTTTTGAGGTTAGGTTTTTTATCATTTGGGCTCCAATTTCTAATGTACAATTTTATTTTCTAAAAATAATGTACTCTTATTAGAACTTCCTAATGTGGATGGTTTTTCGAGAAAAAGGCTTTTAATTGAACTCTTACAAAATTACGGTGTAGAAAATAAGTGACTTTTCTCAAAGTAGGCTTATATCAAAACTTATTGATGGATGTTTCATGAACAAGTAACAGTAATATTTTAAACTCTAACTTTATATCAAAATTTTAGTGACTGTAATTAGTCATTACTAACTAGTCACTAACAATCACTAAAATTTTGATATAAAGTTAATTAGAGTTTAAAATATTACTGAGAATGTATGCGTTGTTTATGAGACATCCATCAATAAGTTTTGGCACAAGCCTACTTTGAGAAAAGTCACTTATTTGCTACACCGTAATATTGTAAGAGTTCAATTAAAAGCCTTTTCTCTCGACAAGTGTCCATATTAGGAAGTTCTAACAAGAGTACTTTATTTTTAGAAAATAATTGTATATTAGAGATTGGAGCCCGAATGGTAAAAAATCTAACCTTAAAAAAATTAGAACCTAAAACGTAATAGGAATGTAGCATAACTAGCGCCCTCTATGAAATATCTAAAAAATAATTAGACGAGCGTATTTGGCGTCCTTAAAAACCCCGGAACACCAAATTTCATAAAAATATTTTTCACCGTTTCGAAATTTCCGTAAAAATTCTATTTAAAAAATTTTATTTTGTCGCTCTGTATCTCGAAAACAAGAGGAGAGAGACATATAAGACAAAAAATTCTTATTTTTATCGTACTATCACCTCCTGAATTTACGGGAGGTCTTTCTGAAAACCCTGTATATAAAGCCTAGTCCAGATAGACAAACAATGTTTACATATAAATGTTTTTAAACAAATGCCCGATGCAAAAACAAAGGCTCGTAAACAAAAACAAACGTCAGTGACATGTTCTTTGCTTGCCTGTGAGCAAAAGATTGAGAGGGAAGCGATGGTGATCAAAATACGTATCATTATCAAGTAATTACAAGAAAATGAAATACGTAAATAGACACTGTGCCCCATTTCGATCTCACTGACCTTGGTTTTAACCCAGAGGTCAAAGTTAGGGGTCATTTAAAGGTCAATTTCAGAATTTCAAATGGAATCCCCATTTGTTTTATCCAGAAATGAAAATAGCAGGATATTCTACGGACAGAGATGTAAATTATTTGATCTTGGGTCACATTGACCACTAGAGGCTCTCTCAAGTTCAAATCAGCTTAAATGACCCCTAAATTTGACCCTAGGGCTCAAGGTCAGAATCACAACTAGACCATAAATCATGGCCATGGTAGTTTTTACGGAATTTACCACAAAAATTAATCGACCTTTGCCATAAAATGTGAACATTTCAGTCGGAAAGCTGATTTGACCTTCAGAGGGCCCCTAGGGGTCAATCTGACCCAAATATACGTCTCTGAACGTAGAATTTCCATTTCTGGATAAAGCAAATAGGGTTTCCGATTGAAATTCTGAAGTGTACCTCCAACTGTCCCCTAAGTTTGACCTCAGGGTCAAATCCAAGGTCAGGGTGATCGATTAAAATGGGACACGTTGTATATTAATAATAATTTTACAACAGTGATAAAAAATCTAAAATCTTTTCTCTAAGCAAGAAAAATAAAATTTATAAATAAAAAGAATCCATTGGATAAAATACAATATTTATAAACAAACCAAGTAAAAGTTGATTTATTCTGCTACGTAATATACAGTGTGTCACAAAAAGCCCCAAACTCCCAGTAAATTTTTCAGATTTGCGTCATGTCTAAAATAGTTTCAGATAAAAAGCCGTAGCATATCAAGAAACCGATTTGTTGAAGACCTTGAGTTTGACCTTGACCTTAAATTTAAAGTTATATCAAGGTCAACTTTAAGATATTAAATAGCACGCCAAATTTTATGCCAGTGATAAATAGATCGTCAAATTTTAGGTCCGAATCTGAGATCAAAGAATTTTTTTTGAAGCTCATCTGAAGGTCAAACTAATTTTTCTCTGAATGTCTCTGTAAAAAATATTTCAAGCAAACTTTGTAGGATTTTTACAAAAGTAAAATAAAATCTTACTAATAACATTTTGAGGAAATAAAATACGAAGATCTCAGAACATACCTAATACTGTTGTATTCTCTGCCTGGTACTTGCTCGCGTCTACAGGCAGCTCATACTGCAAGGCCTTCTGCGACTCACTGGTAATGAAATTTTCGTAATCGTCCACTATGCTCTCACTTTTGACTTCATTCAGAGATAACGTGACCACCAATACGATTAAGATGAGGACCGTAGTGCAGCAAAACGCAAGGCCTACCTTGATCATGGTAGACCTGCTCACTGACACATTGAACAACATTTCTTACTATATATCCTTTAATTACTGGATCGAGTTTTATGGGAACGACCCTCAATTTTTATTTATTCGGCTTATATTGTTTTATTATGTACACTGAAAAAACAATTTCGTTTGACTGTTACGGTCGTCAAACCCTCACGCTGCACCGAGATAAGTAAAAATAATCAGTTTATGCATTTATAATTATGTTACACTACATTATGCGGAACGTTGAATGTCGTCGGTTTTGTCACAGGTCACTAGTCTATATATTTAAATCGCACGAAATGTTGTTTACTTACGAAATAACGGTTACATAAAGCCACACCACAAAATTTAATTACATTTTGATTAATGTGCAAGATTGCAATTGTTTTGCTTTTATAAAAATATCAGTTTTGGTTTTTCCGTCGGTCGACGTTGTTTACTACACAACTGAAGTTTTTACTTGGTTTTAAATTGTTTTCATTGACATTCATTTAAAGCGTATATTCATTATCAAAGACTGATAATGCATAGTAAGGAGTATTAACAGAAGATAGCGATATGCTGCGTCATTCAATTAAAAAGGGAGCCAAGCTCCTTTGAAATTTTTGATAAATTTTAAAATTTTCCTAAAATGCAGTGTATTATAAACTAATTTGTTTTTTTTAACGTAGGCGTTAATTTTTTTTTTGAAATTATTAAAATTTATTTTAACAGTGTAGATGCATGACGCAATTTTTTATCTTAAGGATTTTAGATTAGGACTTAGATTCTTGTGTTTGATAAAAATAAATAAGGATGAGCACTTCATAACATCCTCAAAGATTTTACAGGTAGATGCTTGATGTACAATGTACAATTCTCTTTTTTTTTTACAGATTTTTTTTACAGTTATCTATGTATTTTTTCTGTCAGTGAAATAAACTTTAGTTGTTTTTAAAAGTTGTTGACAACAACCTTATGAATGTACTTGTAAAAGAAAGGAACTACTTCAAAAAATAATTTTTTCATGTAACAATCCATTTAAATAACATCTGCCTTATTTTTTTTAACAAATCTGCATCTAATATGTTCTATCTAATCTATCTGTTCTATCTAATCTAATGCAAATAACATTAGATACATTCGTAATACCAGAATCTTAGATTAATACTGTCTAATTTAGGTCAAGTAAAATATAATAAATACTGTTTCTTACAAGAAATTTCATAACTACTAAAATTATTCACCGAAGAATTTAACCAATACATTTTCAGAAAACTTTTTTACGTATAGTATAATATTTCGTCATTATTGTTCGATTATCTCCTAATGTAACATAGCTATCGAAAAATCTTAAGACACAAACGTTTTAGGGATTTTTTAAATCTATTACAATAAAGAAAAATTAAGTATACATGATCAGTCAAAAAGTCGTGTCGAAACAAAGTTGTTTTTTCTGTAATAGAACACCCTGTACATTATTCCATATTTCAATTCTTTTCGAAATTCTAAACAAAGAAAAAGGGCCCCAAATTATGGATATTTGTTTTGAAAATAACACAATATGGAGGATATGATTTAATTTTATTATTAGTTTTCTTACAGAAAAAAAACAGCATGAAACGAAAAAATGTATATTTTCTTCAAACGCCATATGAGTGACAACTTATGTGACGTTACTCAATAATATTAAGTGTCATTTATATGCTAGGAGTATAAGTACTTTAGTTCAGTCAATCAAGATTCAGAAACGGCGTTTTCAGGAAAAAAAATGTAGAAGAAAAACTTCTACATTTAGTTCAGGCAAGTTAGACCAAAATCACCCAGAATACGGAAATTTTTTTCTGATGAACCGATCGAGTTGCGGTTTCCGGCATTGTCTTCGAAAAAATATCAGGAAAAAAGTCTATATATTACACTTTGGGGCTGGATCGAAACTGCATTGCGGGTGCATAAAGTGCATCTTGGAGTGCATCAATTTTTCCGAATTTTCTAAAAATGGTAAAAATTGACTAAAAGTTGTAGAAATCTGGTTCTCGGGGTCGGAGATTTCGAATCTGACCCTGAAAAATATGCCCAACGGCCCTGGGCCCCCCCACGGGGGCAAGCGGGGGGCCTTCTGTAAAACATCGAATAGCTGAGTAATTGCCTTCTAAATTTCTACTCGGGGGTTTTCGGGGTCGGGGATTCCGAATCTGACACTGGAAAATATCCATTAATCTTAGCTTGTCTATCACTGAGAAAAATTGTCGTAGAATTGGAGAAATCCTGGACAATCCGTTCCCAAGAGACACATTTCGTTAAATCAAAGAAATATTCCTTAAAACCGAAGAATATTTCATGGATCATGGATTTTCAAAAGAATCTCTTGGGCCCGTGCGACTGCGGATAATGCATAACAATTAGGCGACAAAATCCGATTATCGACAATGCAGATCTTGTGGGTGCAGGAAGCATGGAATTACATGCACAATTGCATGTACAAATTGTTTTGGAACCAACTGTTCCAATCCTGAAATAGTCGAAAATGTAATAGATGATAGTGATGGAGACAGTGATGGCAGTACTGATGATGAAAATTGTGATTGATAGTGAAAATGTTAGATAAACATATGATATTAGTTGTCTCACTAATTGCCTTGCAAATAAAAAGAAAATTGGTTCTCAGAATAAAGGGGATTCTTTTCGCCTCATTAATTTCCTGTTAGTTTTTCTTACCCTTCTTGTCTAATCTCTGTAAATTTACGTGTGTTACAATGTAAAGATAAGCCTACAAGATCATGGTTGGTAAGCGGGTGGAGCAGAAGCCCCCCTTGCCCCCCCGGGGACCCCAGGGGCGTCGGACATACTTTTCAGTGTCAGAATCGAATCTCCGACTCCAAAAACCCCCGAGTGGTGATTTAGAAGGCAATTACTCAGCTATTCGATGTTTCACAGAAGGCTCCCCCCTTGCCCCCCTGGGGGCCCCAGGGCCGTCGGGCATATTTTTCAGGGTCAGATTCGGAATCTCCGACCCCGAAAACCAAATTTCTACAACTGCTAGTCAATTTTTACCATTTTTAGAAAATTAAAAAAAAATTGATGCACTCCAAGATGCACTTTATGCACCCGCAATGCAGTTTCGATCCAGCCCCAAAGTGATATAGACTTTTTTCCTGGTATTTTTCCGAAGACAATGCCGAAAACCGCATCTCGATCGGTTCATCAGAAAAAAATTTCTGATTTATTGTCTGATCTAATNCGTTAGGAAACAATATGCGGGTGACGAAATTGACATTTTCGTTTAATTTATCAATAATAACTTCGCAGAACTCGATTGTACCATCATAATCGTCTTCACTCCATTTTTGTAACAAATGAATTTTATTCAGATGTAATTTTTCCTATTTCCAAATCTTTTGAATGGAATATCGACCCATGTTATGATTTAAAGCCCTCTGTTATGTCGAATGTATTGGATTTTCAACCATATCTAACAAGACATTCAAAGAATTTTCCTTCGTTTATAACGCTTACTGGTCTTCTACTTTTTCGTCGATCTGTAACACCTCTGTTTCATAAAAACGCTGCAATGTTCTGAAACGGTTGATTTAGAAATACGTTCCCGATCGGGATGCAATTCATGAAAAATATCGACTACCTCGTCACAACTTCGTCTTCTATCACCATATCCTATGACCATTTAAAACTGCAATACGCTCGGCGTCACTTAGACATGCCATTTTTGTGAGAAAATTATTCACACTAAATGTATTTTTGACATGCGTCGCAAAATAATTACTATTAGACAAAAGAACGAAGAGGCGTTATTTTGGAGCTAGAAACTTTCAAAGGTAACTTGATGGACTATAAACTTAATGGAGTAAAATGTTTTTGTGCACTGAAAAAAGGATTAATTTGGACTAAATAAATATCGTTTGCCATGAACTAATCCTAGTTTTGGATATTGCCTAGCTTATATAGTGTGAAAAGTAACTAATAATAAGTTCATAGTTTTGTAATAAATCTTATTTGAATGTTAATTTATTTTTACTGTAATATTACATTTCGCATCTTTATTATTAATCTACATATTTTAAGATGTAGATGACATAAGATTATTAGAAATATATCTTAGCTTAATGTGAACTAACAGTTTTTCAGTGAAAATAGGTTATTTTAATATTAATAAATCAATGGTTTATAAAAAGTGAATTGTTTTTTACACTAATATTGGACGTATTTCTTTCTTGATTAGTCTCAAAATTATGTACTTTCTCAAATTTAATTAAACTGATAATTAGATAACTTATCTAACTATAAGTTTATAATTAAATTTGAAAAGGTACATAGTGTTGAGACCTACTAATAGAAAAAGCACATACTAGTATATACGATACTTTTATTCGAACATTTCATTTTTGCTAAAAATTAATTTTAAGACTTAAATATATCGTTCAAAACTACGTGTCATAGTTGTTGACAGTTTAATGATTAAAAATAATTTTCGGATTTTTAAATTGGGTTTTATTATAAATTTATGAAACTACAACAGCAACACTATGTCCTTATCTAAAACTGACTTTTTGACGATTATTACTTGTTTGGCCCTAGCTTCCACAGTTTCTGCATCCATTTTAATTAGGAGCAAACGGAACACAGCACTCTGTAACTATATGCACATGTTATATTATGAATATGATCTAAGAACAACAAGAAACACTACCTTTTGATATAGTCCATACTAGCCTACTGAACTACACAATTCACTACTGGCACCTTGCACACATAGTCGCCATGATGGCAAAGATACGACTGTCAGGGGAGAACATAACTTGGTCACGTGATTGGAGTAATTTTTAAATAATATTTTTTAATATTGAACTGATAATAGTTTTAAACTATATAAAAATTTAACTTTTATAACCAGCTGGTTCACATTTAAGAAATTATATATTTGGAATAATTTTCCTTTAAAGTTTAATTGTAACGTTTGATAGTCCAATATAAAATAATATTTATTAAATAAAAACGAATATAGATTTGTATTAAAAATGTATTCTTTTAATTCGCCCAACAAATATTCTAAAATCATAAATGGTTATATTAAATCTAATTTGTTAATTATAGACAAATCTATTGTAAACTGTTTCTTTTTTTTAATTCAAAAAAATCGAATGACTTGTGTTGAATGTAACTGGTTTAACTCAATTTAACCAGCATAAATGTAAACTAACTGCATTCAAAACAACCGATTGCTTTAATAGAAAGTAATTGTTTTTTCAGTGTATAATTTATAAGAAAATGATTTTCGAAGTTCGATATCTCGGAAACGATTAAGTTTAGGTACATGATGTGCTATATGAATTTTGTTTAGAATTTCGAGAATAATTGAAATTTGGAGTAATATACAGAATGTTCTATTAAATAAAAGCAACTTTGTTTCGTCGAGACTTTTTGACTGACACTGTCTA